TACTCTTTATCCCATTCACCTTGGATGACTGACGTATCACGTATTTTTTTTTTGCGTATGGTTTTCGATTCGTGAACGTATGTTACTATTTGAGCCCAGTATTCATGCAATTATATGTAACTATTAGACTGAACTACAAAGGCGTGAAATTGTTATAAGTTACTATTGATAAAAAATCAAAGCATCGTTTTCCACCTGTTTTTTTTTTTTCTCATAACATAAAAATGTTAAAGGTAATTTAGTACACCTACAAACATACCTTCCTAGCAGTTTCATCAATTCGATTGGTTAGCTTTAGAATTTGTGAGTTCTTTGTCATTAACTCGGTCGATAAACGATTGACATCTGAGTTGTTTTGATTTTGTAGAGATTGCAACGAAAATGCATTTTTCGTGGTAGTCAAAGTGTTGTCAAATAACATATTGCCCACAGAGCTGCTATTTATGTCATCACGTATTGAGTTTAATTCAGATATTCTGCAACATAAAAACTAAATTAGTTTTAGCTATAGTTAAGCTTACACAGTAAATTACCTAACGGATGGGCTTATTGATAAACCATCTGCGAACCCTGGGGATATGATTCGCGATGGAAAGAACAAACTACTACTATCGTTTTGAGTGGCCGCTGAGAGAGAGTTACTTAATTTATTTGTATTGGAACCGGTATAGTTAAATGCATCTGACACGCTGAATAGATTGCTGTGACTGGTTGGGCTGTATGTGAGCGAGTTGCTTGGAATGTTGACAGAAAATCCGGCAGAATTAAAATCTGTAAAATTTATATGAAATTTATTTAAGTTTTGCATCACATCCAAATTGATAATTTGCGAAAAAACTTACACTCACCGTTCATAGAGTTATTAAGAGTGGAGCTAGGAATGTTAATTGGCGCCGAGGAACGTGATAATAAACTTGAGTTAGCCAAACTAGCTGAGAGCGCATTATCGCGAAGTTCATCAATAGGACATGCTGTGAAATTAATAACCGTTAATAAAAGAGCAAACACACAGATTGTGAGGAGTATGTGAATACAATAAGTAAATGCTTCATCTCTAAACTAATAATATATCAGTAATAAATCTTACGTTCCACATGTGCAAAAGCGCAGAAAACGCTACGTGGACAGTAACCGGCTTGTTGTACATCATTACATTTAGTTGACTTGTAGATTTCCGGATGAAATTGTTGCTCGGTACGCGTGTGACAATACTGACAATTGTCGCCTGCCTCACAATTACCAGTTTCACCCCATTCCTCGCCGTGCTTAACATTTGGGCATGGAGTAGACCTATACTTGAATTTGCGAGGACTTCGTCGTTTATCCTTACTATTGTGATACTGGGGGCAAGCATAGCCTTGCCGGCAAAGACGAGGTGGACGTTTACATGGTTCCGTTTTGTAATTTGTTAAAACATAATTAGTATCCTGCCACTTTGGATCTTCATTCATTAGATTGCGTTCCTTGTCCAACGCATTTTGTGCATTTGTACCGTCGAGTACAAGCTCTGCATTCTGCAATGATTCCAGCTCTTTTATATCGTATACTGGCGGACGTTGATCTTGAATGCCATGTGCAAAAGCGCAATGGTGTCCATTTTTAACGCAATACCCGCGACTGTCCGTGTCATGCACACACATGCAGGTTTTATAGTAACGCAAATGGTAACGACGTTCAGTATCACCAGCGGTGCGATGAAGAAATGGACAGTCATCACCATCAGGACAAATCCCTGTTGTTTCATCATATTTGGTACAATAATTATCTGCACTATAATTAAAAGTGCCATCTCGTTTACGGACAGGACGACGGCGGCGTTGATTTTGGAAATGCCAATTGAAACACACGAACGGTCTATGCTGGTTGCATTTGTGCTGTAGAAAAGACTGACACTGCTCGACGCGAAATTCCTTTAAGTACGTGTAATGATTTGGTTTTTCTTGTTGTGTAGAAAGCAGCAATTTGCTTGCTTCATTCGCCATTTTGTCACTTTTAAACGCGTACCGAGCAACAATTTCATCCGGCTCGAAGGACCATGATCATAGGTGCAACTACTTTCTTCGAAGCTCCGTATGTTGCCGTA